TGTCCATATTTTAGATGAGTGTGTGCAGCTCTAGGTGCCTTTGCTGCAAAATCAAGAGATTAAAACTAGAGATATGTCTCCCACTTGGAAAAAAATACAAGCTTTCTCTATGAGCTGACATATTTAGGGCCAGGAATGACAATCTGAATGTGGAATTTAATTCTGGATTGGAGCCTACTGTATTTTATCAGATGACATTCCTGTAACTGTAGTCCGTGAAAATGACACTCCCATGGGATATAACACTGCAGAGACCAAGAATACAGAATCATTCATGTTGCTTTTTGATTTACTATTTTTGCATATACTGTTTTGTGGGGTTTCTGGAACACTTCCACCAAAACAAATGTGGGCACTTTTACATCATTTTAAAAAGACAAATATGACTTGCTTGCAAGTCCCAACTTTAAGGAGATATCCACAAGATAAACAGAAAATTTCCCTTTCTTTGTCATCCTCATACCATCTATTTAGGCAAAGCCAGGGAATAGCATGGTTCTTTGTAATTTGCTTTGTCATCTAGGAGACACAGAGCTTTTGCAGACTTCCATAAAACACAAATTCTGAAGGTCTCTTTTTCTTCTAAAATTATGAGTCACTTTAGTTCACTGTCTCCCAGTCTAGTATCATCTCTAGTCTGAAAGGGGACTGTAGTCCCAAGCAATAATTTTCCATTATCATCTGATAGCAAAAACTGAGGATGTGGTTGCAGACATTGGAGTGCCTGTTTGGGCTCTTGTGATGACTGGAGGAAGGGAGATCTGTTCCACTCAGGCAATAAGGGTGCAAGCCACAAGTGACAGGGTAGTAATCCCACTGCTTACTGTGTTGTGACGTGTTGATAATCCTCCACAAGCAAGTTGGAAGTCAGTTCATTGTGAGAAAATGGCCAGAACAAAATCCTGGCTTAAGACATTATAGTATAATAATATAATATAATATAATATAATATAATATAATATAATATAATATAATATAATATAAACATAACATAACATAACATAATTAATATATTTTTATTTCTATTTATTTGTATTTCTATTTCTACTTACATTTATATTTATATATAATATAAATATATGCACAAAGGATGGTTTTGTGCTTGCTCCTTTTTACATGCTTTGCTGTACAGTGTAAGGGAACTTGAAGCTACCTTGGAAGTGCAACTAAATGAGCACCTGTGTATTATGCTGTCTGCATTTGCATTTGTGTAGCACAGTCAGAAAATAATGCCAGCAAGTTCCTTTTATAGATAAATGTATGCAGTCTTGGTGTTTTGGGGTTTCTATAACATGCTGAAGAGGAAAAGAATAAATTAAACTGGCCCACCTTGCATATACAAAATAATGTCTTTTTCTGCCAACATTCATTTTTTGCCACAACTGGGACAATATAGAAAATAAAATAGTGTGTAAGGACACAAATATGCCACTGAATCAGAATGGGCCTTTGCTGTCTGAGTGACAATCAGTTGATGTTCAATTATCATGTTAATTGAATTAAAGCAAAATGGAAATGACTTAATTCCATAACTATATGTTCCTGTCAAGTTACTTATTTAATAATTGTTGCTTGCCTGACAGAGGACAAAAAAATAACCTTATAGGAGATTTCTAAGATGCTATAAATAAAATTAAATACTCCCACTATACCATATAGACAAGTAACAGAACAGAACCGTGCTTTATGATACAGGAAAAATGTTAATTGTATTATTGGATATGATGTGTTTGATAATTTGGCACTGTCTTAAGCATGAAGCTCAAAAGACCTTCAGCTGTTTTCTAGAGCACACTTGAATGATGACACAAGTCTTTCCTCCCCAAATGTGCTGCAAGGATACAAGTCTTATACTTACAGCAACACAAAACTATTTAAGCCTGAGGGCTAAAAAATTCACACAGCTGCAGAAAAAAAAATGTAAAAATAGTTTGAGAGAAGCAGCTGACTTGTTCATACCTGTTTGAGATGCTGCTGCTGAAGACATTCCCCCCTTGCCCTGCCTCCATAAGCTCCCAGTTCAAGTCCAGTCCAGCACAGAGCCAGTGAATTGGTACCACTGCCGGGGCCACATTCATTTGTCTTCAGAGAAAAATATTGATTGCCAGACCAAACTTGGTTGCTATTTATGTTACCAAGTGTTTACTCCCCAGACAGGCAAAACTTACTCTAATTTTTAGTCTAGGCCATGGCAAATCAATTTCCAAAACCAGCATGAGGGTCATCAGCCTACTTGTATGCTAAGCTAAGCAGTGGGCACCTTGGGAAGGACATAGTGAGAGCCCAACCTCTTGTCCTCAGAGGACACACCAATGCTTTTCCAGGCACAAACTGGGGTGAGCTGACCACCTTCCAGGCAAGCCAGCCTGCAGGAGCCATTCTTGCCAATGCAAAAATCAAAGCAGACTGGGGTCATCTGAAAGTTTTTCCCACCCAGTAAGGACTTTTTTACTGTAATGACCTCCTGTTAAATCAGTAAATTTTATGGTGCTAGAGAAGATATGTTGTTCACGTGATTATTGTTCATTCACCAAAAGATTCAAGAGAAGAGGGTAAGGCAGTGTGTACACTGAACATGGTAGAGGCATAGGTAGGACGTAATTAAATAACAATGGTGTGATGATGTTTCTATGAAGTAATGATGTTTTAGAAGGAGATTTGCAGAATTGTTGTTAGCTTCATATTATTGAGTTAACCTTGTGCAATATGACTGTTTGCGGGAAAAGTCAGGTCCCAGAGGACTCTTTCAATTATGCTGTGACTGTAAGAGCACAGCAGGAGTGTCTACTTTTTATATTTGTGTAATGCAAAATAAAACCCAATGTGGAAGCAGTAGATACGTGATCTTTTGAAGAACATTGTTCTGTGTAAAATTCGTTGTTCAGCTCTGTTTTTTAAGTTGGCTATCAGGGTGACACAGAGGCATTGCAATATACAAAGCAGTATAACTTAGTCTTTGTTCTGTAGGTCAAGCTGAATTAATTTTAGCAGCTAGGAACACTGCTAAACACTGAATTAATTTTAGCAGCTAGACTTCTGACTAATTTCTTATTTTTTTTCAAAGCAAATAATAATTCCCCTAATAATCACAAATGATAACAACTTAAGAAGCAAATTGCTACCTTTTTTTTTATTTGCAGAACAATAGGAGATCAACAAACACTACATATTTATCTTAATCTGGCAAAATTACAAAGGTGCAAAGATACAGTTGCACAGCTAAAACCAATTTTTTTCCCTCTCTGTCTTTATATTTACAGTTTTAGAAGCCTAAGACTTCTCTGTTTCCATTGTGATCTTTTGCTTCCCTGGGAAGCAAAATCTTTAATCCTTTTAGACAGCCTCTGAGTTTTGCCAGCCTGTATCTGAGGTTTGTTCTATGTCTGAAAGTAAAGCGCTAGTGAAACAAAAAATTGTTTCACAAGTACATTCTTTATAAAAATGGTTTTGTACTGGATCCTTCCAGCCTGACATTACCACTCTCCCTTTGTTGTCTGCAATTGTATTGTCTTCTGTGTGTACACTCTGTGCTGCCAGGTCCTCTCCATTACAGGACTGGTTTTACTGAAGCATTGGAAGATCAAAAGAGAACACTTTAAAGTTCCATAAAGTTTCTCTTTCTGGGGAGGAGATGTTCCTGTGTGCTTTTAGCTGTGGAATTCAGAAGAACACCCCAAAATTGTCCTCCTAGCTTTGCCTGTCTTTTAGCTTTGAATCAATAGCCCAGTTAACCAGCCAGTGAGGATTGAGAGGGGGAAGATGGAAAGTCTTTAGTTTTCTCATGGAGGCTTTCCACAGGTGCCCAGGTTGTGCATTTGGCTGGAGAAGTGGACAACGGATACACAAAGCTGCAGTTTCATTTTGTGCAATATTATGAACTCCAAATGTCCCTCCACATGTGGATTAACCTTTGGCACTTGACTTAAAAATCATTAAATATAACAACAATAAAAAAGTAAATTTTCCTTCCCTTTATTTTTCTCCCTCACTTTTAAACCGTTGGATGTTTTCTAAACTTCTCCTTTCAACAAGAAAGATGAGCAGCTTAGTTACATGAAGCCCAGATGCATGCATGACTCCTAAATCTACCCTTTCAGGAAAAAACCCAAACCATGAAGTAATGAGAAACTCATGGCAATATGGCAAACAGAAATGTTGAGCTGTTCCTAAATCTGTCACTGACATGGCTAACAGCAAGTCATTAGCTAGGCTCCATGGGTCAGAACCTAGTTCTCTTCCTGAGAGCTTTCAACCCTAAATATCTACACATGCTTTTGTAACGTCATGTTGCTGTAGTGCTATGAGGTCCAGCTTAACCCTGCACATTGTCTTTGGTCTTGAAATCTGGGCAGAATTGAAGTGATTCTCCAAGGTCTTTAATCTATTATGAGATTGTGCACATGCCACATTTAAAATAATTTGGTGAGTTGAGAGAAATGTACAGAAATAGATCCATGCTTCTGAGAAGTTAATTAGACCGATATGGGATCAAGACTGGAATAATGGCTAACATTTATTATCCTTAGCAGCTCTGTGGGCTTCTTTGACTGCCCCCATCAGTTCACCCAGGGAAGAGAGGAATTCTTTGGCTAATCTGTGGTGCTGTCATCTCCTCCTTCATTTAGCTCAAATGTCTTTCTGCAAAATTCTTGTCTTCCCCAGAGGGTTTTAACTGGTCTCACAGGTGGAAGCCAGTGGAGAGGGTCACACCTACCTTCCCCCATCCCAAAAGGTCGCATTTGAAAGTACGTCCCATACTTCATTTTGAGAATTAAACCTGAGGTTCTATGAGGGATATTGTTTTTCCAGTACTGCTGGTTAGTTAAATGGTGCTTCACAGTTGGAACAATATTTTCTTTAAAATATTTGATGTTTATTATTTCACTCTTTAAGCAATATGGGGAGGAAAGGCTGTTTATTTAGAAAGACATAGAGACACACCAGTGATATATAAAAACAAAACCAGATTAATTTACCAATTTGCCATTCTTTGTTTTTAGGTATACAAAAAGAAAACTGAAGCTGCCAAGAAGGAGTATCTGAAGCAGTTAGCTGCCTACAGAGCAAGCCTTGTATCCAAGGTAACACATGATGTATATACATACACACATCTATATAGTGACATATTGCAAACCATTTTCAGCTGAGCACTGCAGTATTTAGTGCAAATAGCCTTGTTTATTATCACCTTAAACTTGCGTTTAAGTTGCAAATGCTCAATAAACACAATCATCTGTCCACATAAAGACATCCTTTCCCTCCTGGTCATCAAGACAGCACTTCAGTTTGGGAGTAACACGCCAGTTCAACAGGGGAAGGAGGTAGTGGTAAACAGACCTCCATATAACAAACATGCCAGGCAGCCGCTGTGCTGCCTAAAAGGGGAAAAAATATATATCATGCACAAAATGCCTGGGTTTGGTTTTGTGGGGTTTTTTTAGTACTGCTTTTTGCCTTGCAATCACAAGACAAAAAAGCTCAAGCTCAGATGATATTGAAGATTTTTGTAAGAAATGTGAATTTCCATTTTATGTCCAGCAAGCAAATGTGAGCATGGTGTAGGTCACCGCTAAGGCAATGGTGGAACATTCTTTACTGGAACACACTAAATATACAGCCAGTAGCAATTTTCTAAATAGATTTATTCAAACTCAGTACCCATAATTTTGCAGTAGACTCTTTAGAATTTGTAATAGACTTTTAAATATGCAGAAGAATGTGCAATTACTATACTGTAATGTCAATGTGAAAAACCCATTGAGAAACTTCAGAATCATACCAGTTAGAACAACTTGTTTTTGGTCTATCCAAACAAATTTAGATGAATTTTGTTCTTACTTAAATAAAATCAATTTTAGAGGTAAAGAGCACAGTACGAGGGACTGGTATATAGGACATGAGAAAAACTTCTTGGTTAGTTTCAAAATATTTTTGGGGCCCTGAAGGCAATATTACTGTATATACTATATTAATTTTTCAGGGGGTTTGCTATATATATATATATAGCAAGGATTAGCTGTGCAAGGACTTTTCATGCATGTTACTGCATTATCTTCATATTTGTTCAGTGTTTCTTCTGAATTTAAAAGTCTGAAATATGACTGGCACCTAATCAATTTTTGGGGGTTGTGTCCTATAACTTTCCATTTTTTAGCTGCCATTAGAAATACTCCTGCAATTAGTTAAAGTAATTTACAGTATACCTTTCATTTCTATATTGGGACTGTTTGGTTCCAGAAATAATCAATGCCTTCAGAAAGAGTACCCTCTGAACACAAGTAAATCTTTTTCAAGTAGCTTGCTTATTGGCAGCAGATAGGTCTAAAAAGATCAAAATATACCAAGTTTTAACCCAGCTTTTCACTTGAGAAGATAACTTGGCTATCATTATTCAGCACATCATGAACTATTTACGTAACACTCTATGTGACTTAATTTTGAAATGTGCAATATAAAAAATGTGATTTTTTTTGTTTTGTTTTGTTTTTTAACAACAAAAGAGTATATTACGGCATTTTCTGAAATTTGTTTTTTAGAAAAAAATTTGGAAGACTGTTGATCAGTTCAGTGCTTGAATCCATTAGTGCAAATATTCAAATTTGTTGTTAGTCAGAAAAGCACTGAAGCATTTTCTTAACTTTTAAGCAATTATTTAAATTCTGCCCATAATGTAATGTTTTCCTCTAGTGTGGAAAGTATAAAAATATAAACTTAATGAAGCTGAGTACTGATTGCTTATTCCCATGAACACACTCAATGAATCTAAAAGAGCTGGCATGTAACTAAAGCAAGTCCATTTTGGTATAAGGATGTAAAATAACCCTTTGTAATATAATATCAGTATATTCTACATTATCATTATTAAATATTTATATGGCACCAGAAGAGTTTTAGTTTTTTAGACAAGCCTGTAAGCATGAGAAAATATATATAATACATAATTAAGTTTATTTGGAGTCAGTGTGGTCTTTTATGTCCATGTTGTTACATTACCATCCATAAAAAACTACTTTTAGATGGTATTATTAAGATTCCAGGACCTCATTATCAAAAGCTGAGACATGCCAAAAGTAACGCAAATTTTCCAAAAATTCTTTTTTACCATATTAATGATTTGCTCACAGATATATTTTGTGCTTTGTGCCTCACTCTGTGGTACTTCACATTTATAATCAGGTGTTCACCCTGGATCCTCCTGAGTTATATTTACTGCCTGTTGTTTAACCTTTCTGCTTTATAGAATTTTCTGTGCTGCTCGTTCTAACAGTGCTTTGGTGTAAAGAAATTCTCACAAATACGTGGGAGCAGGAAGTTTATACAGTCCATGTTTTCAAACACAAATAATCATGAAATCAGGTTCTCATCAATTTTGTGTGTTGTCCTTGGAACATCTTTTCTTCAAAGTATTTGAACAATATTAAGCCCTTCATGTTCATAGCAGAGCTCCAATGACTTTGGGGTGGCAGCTATGAGATACTCAGTTATGCTTCCTATCCCATCAGGATATGCTTTGGCTATCCAAATGTTATCCAATTATCAAACTTTCTTTCATATCCCCTCCTAGTGGTCTCTGTCTGCAGGAAGAGGCAGGCACGAGGAGGCAATGGTTCTGCTCAAGTCCCCTCTGTCCAGCTCAGCAGGTGCCTTAGACCTCCCAGAGCAGCTGCTTTTCCTGTTTCTTATCTTTTTGACACTGATTCTGCTGCCTTTTTCATTAAGTATTACTGATTTTTAAACTAGTGAGCATACAAGAGTCTATGCATGTTTTTTTCTGCTTTTATTTACAAGTCTTCTCTTTTCTGAAAAGCAAGGACTGGACAAATGCCATGTTCTACCTCAGTGGTCCAGACTTGGAGCTGAACTCATGTCACCCATCTTGGCCATTTGAAATTCCAGAATAGTCAAAGTAGAAGATTACAGAGGAACAGGGAAGAAATCCTACAGCCAGGACCCTTCCTAGTCTCTGCCTGCTAGCAGAATAATGAAATTCAGACACACTGGTGTTCATACCAAGCTCTGGGGTGGATGTGGAGCATCAGGTGGAGAGAGTGGCCTTCTCCATGACACTCAGCTCCTTGCCCCTTTACTCTGATTTTGCTCTCCCCTCCCTGTTCACTGTTTAGAAAGCTGAGCAGTTCTGTTTGGGGTTTGTCTCACAGACACAGAGGTCACACACACCCATAGTTTGTATCATATCAGACTGTGTTATTTGACAAAATCTTAGCTGAAAAGAGTGGAAGGGTCACCAGAAACTCTGGTAATAGGATTGCCAGCCCATTTCTAGTACACTTTTAAATACTTTCAGGATGTCATTGTAGGACAGATATGGCTACCACCCAGTAAATACGGTAAACATAAGATTGCATAAATATGTCAGTATGCATTAATTCCTATTCATTTCTATTTCCTGTATTTTCTCTTTTTTTTGTACCGGTTGAAATTAATGGGTGTGTTGTTGAGTTTGTTCACGTGTGTAGGAATTGATAGGTGAAGTAAAAACACATAACAAAGCATTATATATTCTGCTATGCAGATTGCCATATTGCTTATAGTACTGACTAAGCCTTTGCATTGTAAACAAGTGTCTTTATATTTGCCCTTAGTTGCAACTTTTAGTACTATTCAGGTCCAGAAATGCAGTCTCTGGTATCTGGTAATTTGTACAGCATTACATAAAATGCTGTGAATTGCAATTTTACTTTTTTCATAAAACAAGCACTTTTTCTAGCTTAACCAGCCTTTTTTCTGGCTGACATTAGAGTTTTTGCTGCATCTTTCAAATATATATATTTAATACAGATGTATATGGGTAAATGTTAAATACTTTCATATATTACATAGGTTCATCTATGAATATTTATAAAAAATATATACACATTATGTGTTCAACATGCCTATTTATGTGCATATAAGTGATACATATATGTGTGTTAATTATAACAGAACAACTGTACCTGTTTCAGTAGTACAAAAATGATTTCTCATTCCTTTTTATTCTTTTTGACTAGATTAATCTTCAATTTTCTCTGTGTAGTGACACAATTTCAAGTTTCATGAAGTGACTATGGCTGAAGCTAAAACCTCTCAGCAAGGGGAATATTATTCAAATTCAAAATACTCAGGCATATTTCAAAATTCAGATGCTGTATCTAAGTCAAAGTGGTGTCCTCATTTGACTTTGAAGTGAACACATTGGACGTTTTTCAGTTTTGTGGACAGTGCAAATCCTTTGGACATGTAAAATTGCTTCTCGAAACTTATGGCAGACTTAGCTTTTCCTAGTCCATCATCTTGCAATTGTGGTTCATAAAAAAACTAAAGGTCGTATCTGTAAGACTGACATTGCCTTAATGCCATTAGCCCAGCAATTTGTAACTAGAGAGTTCCAGGGACCCAAAGTATCTGTTACATTGCCTGTGCTGTAATAAAAATGATCAGCCTAAGGAATTCAAGTCTCTTAAAAATGCAGTGGACATAAATAAAAACATTTGACCTTCTCATAAAAAGCAATATGGAGACCATCATAAAGAAAAAATGAGTACAAAAATCAATAAAACAAGCAAACAAAAACAAAATCAAAACCCAAAAATAACCCAAAACTAAAATTATAAAATTGGTATTACTTTCCAATTTCATAAATGTATGTCTGAGAGCATTTGCCTAACATATAAAAAACCAAAAATATATGTTAGGTCTCCCTGATCATTCATTTCCCAACTTCTGAATAAATGTGTGTGTGCAGTTGTGCTCTCTCCACAATCTGTGTTTTCTAACTGCATAGCTTCATAGTGGCCAAGCTTCAGATGTAGGGGGGCACTGTATCCTGGCTCACTCCTCCCCTAAATAAGCAGCTGCTGGGGTTTAGGACATTTCTTTTGGGAATAAAATTTGTAATATCTCTTGACAAGAGTTAGTGACTGAACTGTCTTGTCTCTGGTCAGTGCTTTAGCAAGTTGGCTATTGAATGCAAGGAGAGCAGCATCCCTTCTGCTGCTGGCAAAGAGGCACCTGCTTCTGAGAACAGCTTTTCCTACATCATATCTAGCCCTAGTCCATGCAGATGTTTTGGAATTTCATGAAC